GGGTCCCTCCAGACCACACATCCTGATGTAACCAAACCCACCCAGGGTCTACCCCTACTCCACACGCTTCTTTCCCCATCCCACGTCTTGCACACTGTTAACCTAGAAAGCACCTAGTCTTTATCGCACTGCCTAATCAAATCCCAATAGCTGTGTGGCTGTTAAAACCCTCACTCCTGCCCATCTGCAAATGCCTGTAGCTCACTCTGCACAGTGCTTTGTGCCTGAGCTTGCTGGCAGCTGAGTACGAGTTAGCACGGAGATGCGACCCTGAGAGCTCATGGTCCTGCAGCCCCAGCAGCACCAGTCACAGGGCAGAGCTAGGTGCTAGGGGGTCTTAGGAAGGTGCAGGGAGATGAGCGGAGTTTGCACTGTGGGGTCGGTACTGAGCTGGCAAGGACCGCAAGCAATCGGCACTCTGCTGATAAGAGTGGGTATTGCAGCTTTCTTAACACTCGCCAAGGACCTGGCGTTAACATACACTGGATGAAAACAACTGAGATCTACATCTGCCCTAGAGAAAGCACCAGAGGCTGCTTGTTGGCTTCCCAAAGCCCATACCCGGTGCCTTCCCATACGGACAGGGCAGGTGGGTGCTCCTGGGCTCCCTCTGGCCCGACGGGCCAGTCCCCAGCCCTGCCTCTGCCAGCGAAGCTGGGAGTGGAGCCAGGCAGAAGGTGCAGCATGGGAGTGGGTGAACAGGTGCATTGTCCTCTGTGCCCTGGCTTCCCCCCAGACCACAACAAGGAGGGAGACAGGTCAGGCAAGGGCAAGAACAAAGCCCATGGCTCATCTTCAAAGAGGAAGAGGCTCATTAATACCTCCCAGCCCAAGATAATGAGAGCAAGGATGCCATGATGGGGAAATGATGCCAGTAGTTAATTATGCAGCTTGGGGAGGAAGGCAGAAGAGGGACAACTGCAGGATGGAGGTGCCACACTGCCCTGTGTGCTGGTGCTACATTTGCTGGTTCAGGCTGGAGTGAATATCTTCATCCTCTTCACTCCAGGTACCTGGTACAGCCCTCGCCTCTCATTTGTGCTAGCTGGGGGGGAAGAGCCACTCTGCAAACCATCTTCTGGAGCCTATGTTACAGCCTTCGGTGCTGTACGAAAAGCACCCCTGCTCTGTGAAGACCTTCTCGGTGAGCCAAGAGCAAGCCTACTTGTCTTTTCCAGGAGCAAAAGGCAATGGTGGGAGCAGGAGTGCTCCAGAGGGCACACATGTGGTGTCCGCGCTGCACTGACACTGTATCAACGGCCCATGATCTGCACTTGGATAACCAGTGAACCCAAGAGAAAAGCATCCCTGCCTAGTCACATCCTGGGATAGCTTTGTAGTGAAGGCAGGCTCGAGGGAGCCCGAGGCTGTCTGGCAGCTCACAGGGGCTGGAGAGCGGAAACAATGCCGCCAAGCCGGGATGCGCTGCATGAGGGGAGTGGGATTTCCCGTGTCGGCATTCACAGAAGTCCCTCAATTGTGTCAGCTCGCAACAGGCAACTAAGGGGCCGTCGGGCTGCTTCCTGCTTCGGAGCAGCCGGGAAGCGCATCCAGCTGTGGCCAACAGCTGCATGAATTCCTCCTGCAGCCCCTAGCCCTGGGGAATCTATTGGGCTCAAGGATACAGGCTCACTTGTCTGCGATCCCACAGCCCCAAGGCTTGGCTGCTGCTGCCTTCCCACACAGCCCGCAGTTCCACAGCCTGTTCCCGAGAGGCAGATGGGAGCGCTGGTGAGTACAGACAGGGACTGTGTTGATCTGGCAGTATTAGCACCTAGCAGGGGTGAGAGGCTCAGAGTTAACTAGAGGCTTCAGATTTAAAGACGGGGATGGGGAGGACAGCACAAAGGGGCTCCACACGGAGCTCTTGGCGCTCCTGCCTGGACCAGGCTCTCCGTTAACGCAGCTGGTTTGCTCAGGAACGGAAAGAAACGCTTACTGAAATCTTCCACAGCATCCCACAGCCAACTCGGAGCATTTTCTTGAGCAGGACCCGGAGCAACCCCGTCCCAGCGGCTCTGCTGCCAGCCAAGGGGGCCCTGCCGCGCTGCCTGTGCAGCAGCACACGGCGCCCAGCCCACGCGCCTTGCAGCAGGTCCTCGCAACGTGCGCCGGACTGCGGCACCCCAGCAGCCGTTTTCCCCCCGGCAGACGCTGACATGCACACACACAGAGCGCTCGGCAGAGATGCACATCCCTGCAGCCGGAGGACGGCTGCACAAACCCCTCGGTGAAGTCCCGCATTCCCAGGCATCAGAGCATTAGCGCGCTTCACATCCCCAAAACCCCGGGCTGGCTGCTCTGCTCCGCGTCCGCAAAAACCACACGCTGTCCCCCCGGCAGTAACTACGAAAGGGGATTTGGCGTTGCCCTGCGAGGCAGAGAAGAAGAAAACCCCCCATC